CCCCGCGCCTGGCCTCAGGTGCGTTGCTCTCTCTTTCTCTCTCTCTCTCTCTCTCTCTCTCTAGCGCGCGCGCGCGCGCGGCTAGCCACGTGGCGCGCCGTTTTTTTTTTGTTTTTTTCGTAGGAGATGGCTATGGCGGGATCTTTGTCACGTTGTTTGGCGGAGGACGAGCGCAAAGAGGAGCGGGAGCGAACGAAGAGGAAGGGGAGGAGGAGCACAATGGAAAGGAGGTGCAGTGGCCGAGGAGAGCAGGGCGGAGGGGAGGTGTCAGCAGAGGATGGCAGCGGAGCAGGAGCAGGCGGAGGAGGAGGAAGAGGAGAAGGAACAGGAGGAAGGCCATCGAGGAGAACGAAAATGATGGAACGAAGCAGGACAACAAAGAGGAGGTCGAGGAGTGGGAAGGAGTTGGAGAAGAACAAAGAGGAGGATGAGAGGTGTGTGTGTGTTATGAAGATGTGTGTGTGTGTGTGTCAGTGTACGAGTGTGTGTGTCTTTGTGTGTGTGTGTGTCTGTGTGCGTGTGTGTGTGTGTACCTTAGAGAGGAAAGGGCGACACTAATGGCAAGGAAGAGGAAACGGAAACCAACATGGTGAAAACAAATAAAAAATACTGACGAAGTGAAGAAACGAGAACAAACTGATGAGTGAAAGGGGTGAAGATGGGTGTGCACCAAATGACCTTTGTCGCACCGCCAAATGGTGGCAATCGTGAACAGGACTGCAGACACAGCTGCGCAATGTGGACACCCACCTATCATCCTCAGCAGCCGGTAGGCGATGTGACGAAAAGCGGCGTGCCACGCTGATAGCCGACCAACCCTCTCTCTCTCTCTCTCTCTCTCTCTCTCTCTCTCTCTCTCTCTCTCTCTCTGATGTTTGTGTACACCACATGGGACGCGGGACCCAGTTTCCAGCCCGTGTCACTCCCCATGAATAGAACGGAGATATCCACATACAGCCTTCTACCAAGGAGGTGCTGTTATCATCTCCCTGGTAGAACTGCGGCAAAGGATATTCCAAAAAGAAAAAGGGAAAAAGAAAAAGGATTCAATTTTCAAACTCATGCACGGCCTCTTCGCAACAGTGACACCCAGGGTAGAGTCAAAAGCCTGCGGCTCCGATTGTGGGTCTATTATAGAAGGGGATTAGCAGTGGCCTAGCGCATGATACCAGCAGGGGGAATGCTTGCCTCCTCGTCACCCCCCCTCTCTCGTCGTAAGTCTGGCTGGATTATGGTTCGTGCGGTGGGGGAAGTTGAAGATTGGTCTTGCATCCTGAAGAATGTGGCTGGAGGGACTGTGTTAGGGCAGAGCAGCGAAGGAGATGGTGGCTCTTTCGTTGTCAGTTTTGCTGGAGGGAGGCTGTCGGGTTGTTCTGTTGGGGATGGATCGGAGGAGCTCTTGGCTCTTTGATTATTTTGTGCTTGATAATCGTTTGGTTATTTCCTTGCAATTTTTTAATATTTTTCCCCCTATTTTTCAGCTCTTGATTACAGCTGTTGGCAAAGTAGGGACGATGGACCCCGGGTGCACCTCCAGTTAAACCAGGGTAACAGCCCCAATAATAGCCAAAAAAATATGCCTAGGTAGAATGGTGAGCGTCCCGGGCTGGAGCAGATTTTGAGTAATACACAAGTCTGTTTTCAAAAAATAAAAAGAGAAAGAATGACACGTTCCGGGCTGGAGCAGATTTTGAGTAATACACAAGTCTGTTTTCAAAAAATAAAAAGAGAAGAATGACACGTAGGAATAGATAAATGGTCTAGCAAGGTTTACCCCGCTTTCTGGGACTATGCTGGCGAGTGGACGTTGCTGAGTTGGTGAGTGGTCGATGTTCCTCCATCTTCAATGTGATACCCAAAGCAGTGACAGTTAGCAGATCATTCAGTCCGGAGTTTTGCGTGTTTTCATTTAGATTTAGGCCAGGAGCGGGAGCAGCGGGAGCAGCGGGAGCAGCGGGAGGAGGGATGGGAAAAGGACCGGGAAAAGGAGGGGTGGGAGGAGGTCCGGGAGGGGAAATGCGAAGCGGCGGACGAGCCGCGGGAGGAGGAGCTGGAGAAGGAGGAGCGGCAGAGGAAACGGGAAGGGGGTTGGGAGCGGGAGGACCACGAGGAGAAACCGGAAGGGGCGGAGGAGGCGCGGGAGGAGGGGCGGAAGAAGGAGCGGGAGGGGGAGCGGGCAGGGGGTTAACGAACGCGCGGGAGGCAGAGGAGGGGGAGTAGATATAGGTGGAGGAGAAGAAGCGGGAGGAGCACGTTTCCAGCCATGCACGCAGAGAGAGAGAGCGAG